TAGACCTGTTGAGGCTGGTTCTGGTCCATCTGACCTCTGTAGACCTGCTGAGGCTGGTTCTGGTCCATCTGGTCCAGGCCGAAGCTCGTGTCTCCTAACCTCTGTTGGCTCGTCTGAGCTCACAGCTCTGACTGTAACTACTCCCTGTTCTCTACCAGAGGTTCAAAGGGAACTAGCTGCTGGTTTGGTCCATCTTTGTCTTTAAATAGGTTACGTCTGGCCCTTTTGGTCTCTGGTGGTTTCAGCTAACGGCCCAGTACTTTTGGTTTCCTCCTCATGACATAAACTGATGGTAAATGCAAACCAACTGTCGTGATCCTAGTCGTAGAAGAAACTGATTCACAAACGATCAGGTGTAGTCTTCGTCCAACCTTCCAACAAATGAAAGGTCAGTTTCACAGAGACTCAACGTCTAATAATCTTCCCGCTCTGCTTTCAGTGTTTCTGTCCCAGGAAGCGGATCTATAAATATATTTTCATCACAATCCTCTGCTCCTCCTTTGTTCAGGCTGGAAACCTGGACCGAGACAAGCCTGCCTGCAACTCCCAGGAGCTGGAGGACTGTGACGTGTTTCCAGAAGACAGCTCCAGCCTCACACACTTTGACGGAGATTCACTCAGACCCACTCAGGTGGTGAGTATCTCACACTGTAGTTTGTTTTCAACACTCAGACTGCATGAAGTTCATGAAGCTTCACTGTCGGACTCATGGTTTCAACCATGAAACTTCTGGTGAACACAAGAACTATCTGAACATCATCACTGGACAGAACAGAGACGAACTCCTACAGAACTGAAATTATTTAAAATCATTTACCCGTAAATATTACCCAGAAGTCTTATAGAGGTCATGTGACCAGAAGTCTAAAAGTACCGGTGGAATACAGTAAATATTCATTAAATTAGTTCCTTTGATTTTATTGTTAAACATTTTGTTAACAGCTGCAGTTTGTAAATACATTGGACGTGATTTCTGCTCAGCAGAGCTCATGAGGAGGGAGGGCGGGGCAAGAGCGGGGAAGTCTGTCGCAATAAAATATAAAAATATAACTTTTTAAAATTATGAAAAAAAATACATGAATAAGATGCTCCTGCAAATTAACCGCGGGGTACAAAGTGCGAAAATAAAATGGCGGCTTATACACCGGCAATAAATTTTTGTTTGTTTGTTTTTTATCATAAACACCATTAACCTGCTGGAGTTTCATATTTTGAGTAAAATGACCTTATCGTGTGAACTTGTCGTTAAACTTTGATGGCTTTGTGTCAGTGAGCTATCTGCAACAGGTAAGATATTAACTGTTCATAACCATGCCACTGAACCCCACTCTCGAAGATCTGAACTACCCCTTTAATGCACCTGTTCTATCCCTGTTTTGGCTCCACGGACACAGAAAATGACTGGAAGTGAATGTTTTTCCTCTCCATCACAATAAAAGCTCTTTTCATAATAAAACGTGTCTGCTGAGGATTTTTCTCTCTTTCTTCGGGGTGTTTTGTAACGAATCGTTTGTTTCTGTTCTGGTGACTAATTTCTCCGTCCCAGATGAACCTTGTCTTTGTGTAACCAAAAGCTGTGAGAAGGAAATGTTCAGCTGAGTGTCTGTGACGAAGGGCTCCGTGTGAATGCGTGGCCTTTAGTGTTTTTATTTTTTAGAATTAGCGCTGTTCTTGGAGCTTCTGAAGGCCGGTCTTTGTTCGGCTCTAATATCTCGTCCAGGAAGCCGTTACCTTTTTGTTCCGGAGGGTCCAGCCTTCGTTTAATTCACTTAAATGCTCCGGCTGCCAGGATCCACGCTGACCTTTCTCAGAAAGCCCCTTCGCTTCAAAGCCCGCCTCAGCCTCATCATCTGCCTCCTTTGTCGGCGTGTTTTTCTGCAGCTCTGATCCCGGCTGAAAAGAAAAATACATTTATTTTTCTGTGTGTGTTCCTGTGGAGGAGGCTGTGAGTCATTTCTACAGCCGAGTGGACCGGAACATTTGGACTCAGCATCTCTCACGTTTTATAAAAACTGATTAAAACATCTGAAATGGAAGGGATTTTATTTTAATGAATAGATTATCTCTCTCATCTAT